AGGGCTAGCCATTGCATGTCCCTCACCACGTGGCTAACGCGAAATTTTATAAATTCTTCTATTTTGTAATGTTCTGCATTACCATACTTGACACTAATTTTTCTTCCAAATTACACTTCAACCATCCTCCTTGCTGCACCCGTCTTCAATAATCAAAACCTGCCTTTCTTATCATTCAAAGTGTCATACTGTTTCTGGGTTTCCATTTCAGGAAAAAGAAAAGAAAAGAAAGGAAAAATCCTTACTTACCCCTTTTTGTAAATGTACAAACCTGACTAATAGATTAACTTTACTATAATTACATGATCAAAATCTTGAATGTTTTTATTTGCTTGCCCACTTGAAAAATTATACTAGTAGATTAGAAGTTAATCATACTTGGTAAATAAACCCAAGTGTATCAGTGCTTGATTAGGAGGGGAACTACAGTCTAGCGTGGAATTATTGAAAAAGTTCAAGCTTTTGTGCCTTATCTCTTAGTCGGTGCTGGATAGCTCCTTAGTCCAATTAGGATTGTTAGGAAAAATAAACACGAGAAGCTTTGATATTGACATTTAGAAAAAAAATATAGTCAAAATGACATCTTTAATTAATCAACAACAGGGTTGGTCGGTAATGTGATTTTCTTTTCCTATGCCATCTAAAGATATGGCTTTTATTGTTATTTCAATGAAATTGAATGTTGAATTGAAGATGGGAAGACTGTTAGGCTTCTTCTGCAATGAATATATATAATTAAGTTAAACCAACGCGCTTTGTGCCTTGTCCACACAATACGTTTTTCGGGGAACTGTATTATATTCTTCTTGGAAAAAGGCAACCTTTAACTTAACCCAAAGTCTCTCTGTTTTCTTTTGCTTTCTATTTTCACACCTTTTTTTCTCTCTCGGCTTGATCCGTCATAGTACTGGTATTTGTTTATAGTATTTATTTTATTAGTATTGGAGATAGAGAAAGATGGGTTCAAGGCAGAGCTTAAACGTTAATAAAATGAGCTGAGCTGCTTAATTTACGGTTTGCCATTGGTGGAAGAATAAGAAATGTTCTTTCTTTAAGATTTCTTTCTGTTCTCTTTCCTCTGTTTTTTCCTTTGCGTCGGTGATTCATGCTTACTGCGTAGAAAGGAGAGGGAATATAGAGTGGTTTTTAATTTTTTTCAGGAATCTGAATCTAGCTAGTTGAACAACAGGATAATAAGAAAGAAGAGCAAAGGGATATATACTTTTGAGGGGGGAAAAAGGGGCAGAAAGGATGGGGGAGACGCCAAACCATGGGCCACCACCGCCACCCCAGGCGACAGCACCACCAGCACCACCGCCGCTTGCTGTTTCGAGAG